GCTGATTAGGACGTTGGCCGTATCTGCTACATGTATAAGCGGGATATGCGACTGTCTAATGAGACATTACGGTCAATCTGTCTGGTCAGTTTTTCCCCCTCTTTTGTTCGTTATTGTGGACTGTACATTCTCTGGACAGACAGACATAGAGCCAATAAAAGTCGATTTCGAAGGTCTTCATGTCTCTTTTCGTTTCTGCGCGAAACAAAAAGAAACTTGTTATTTCATTAAATAAAGATGATGAAATGTAGAACGAATAATAGTCGAATAGTTGAGGTTTAACATTATTCTTAAGCGTCACGTACGGAGGACATAAACAGAAACTAGGTTACTTGTTTGCCCCCATTGTTTAACCAGGTGTTATAAACCAGTATAATTTATAACCACATCCTGCCATGACAATGATGAACCCCGATGAACTTTAAATAAGAATCACATAAAGATATTGTCTTTTTTCTTGAATGTGCGTGGTTGTGGTACTTTCATGTCGCGTTAAATTGCGTACATTTGCCAGCATTTCTGAAATAATAACTCCTCACACTGTACTGTAAAAACGACACAATTATGCTGACCTAATAAAATATATTTAAAATGTAAAACAGCATGTTCACTGATATTAATAACAATTGTTCTTTTTGATACGACACAGTCTTGTGCCACACTAGACCAGTTTACTAAAATATTCAAATATGTGTATACTTTTTAGACAAAGGTTGTTCTTGACAACCCGAAAGCTTGCCCAAGGCTTGCCCGACGAAGCAACCAATGATATATGCAGACTGGATTCAGAGTATTGTAGTTCATTCAACTACCCCCTAGGACAACTACCTCCGAGGACAACTACCCTCTAGGGCAACCACCCTCTAGGACAACTACCCCCGGTAAACTACCCCGGACAAATACACCCGGACAACTACCCCCAGACAACTACCCCCTAGGATAGTTCTCACGGGGTAGCTTTCCTAGAAGATGGTCGTCGTAGGGGGTAGTCGTCTTAGAGGGTTGTTGACCTAGGGGGTACTTGTCCTAGGGGGTAGTTGTCTGGGGTGGTTATCCGGGGGTGGATGTCCAGGGAGTAGTTGTCCTAGAGCCGATCTACTGTAAACTATAGAGTTTGTACTTTAGCAGCTTTTATTTCACTAGGCTCTGATCAAGACTTTATGGAATTATTTTTACGTTTCAGATTAGAATAATTCGTACCGAATTATTAACTCACCTTAACCAAGACGAAACGTTATACATAACCCTAGCCACATTGACCTAATGATAAACCTTACCTGATAACTTTATTGCAACCTATCCCCAAACCATGTAACTATCCCAAGATAAGGTCCATAGTATTATGTGTGTGTTTGTGTGTGTATGCTGGGGGGGGGGGGGGGTGCATGTGTTAATAGGATTATGTGGGGAATGTTATGTGTGCTTTATGAGGGGTAGAGATGCGATGAACTTTTAACTCCTTAATTCTACAGATTAACAACTTAGCAATAATACACAAACTAGACATGCATGTAATTGTGTTTTGTTTAGATGGCCTTAGAGGTAAATAAGAGCATTCAAATGTTTTTCGTTTTTCGCTCCCGCTGTCTCGCCGTTGACAATATAAGGCCTTTCAAATTGTATGAAAGTATTGTGACGGTATTTATTATATGGCGACGTTATGTCTTGTAAGGTATGCCGTGGATTATTAAATATTTTGAAAAGGAGACCAAAAAAGAGCTGAAATGAGAATAAATATTGCCAGTAAATTAAACTTATTTATGCAATTGGAAGCCAGAGAAAGGTTACTCTGAGTATACATTTCGTTGTAAAGAGAAATAGAAAAAAAAGAAGATGTATATATATATATATATATATATATGTATTATGTATAGACAGTGAAGCCTCTCCTGATTGATTCATATTTACAACCTTACTTCATAAGTTGGGCAAGTCTTTTGAATAATTGCATGACATATCTTCCTATTCTTTTTCTGGTTATTCATAATTTTCTTTTATTGCCATTTCTTGGACATTTTTCCAGGATCCTTTTGAAAAGCAGTGGTTCATAAAGTTACGCAACCGCAAATGGAATGCGGCTTGAACGGAATGGACACGGTATGCGGCTTGAGGGCTACAATGCATGAATCTTTAGAAGATAGCATACAAATTCAGGATCGCTGATAAAAAAACACAAAACATTTTAGTGTCAAATTATGATAAATGAAGGTCAGGGTGGAATTCACGTCGTTTTGTTGGATATGCCCCATATAGTATAGTAGTTCATTTAATCCAAGAGTGGAGGGTTCGAATCCCAGCCTGGCACTATTAACGTCTTTCGGAAGACATTAATCCACATTTGCCACTCTTAACCCAGGTGTAAATGGGTACCTGGCAATTGATGTGGTATCGATAATAATTGCAGGGCCCTTAGAAAGAACATCATTGATGATGATGATGAAGCTTCCCTGGGTAAACAAAATTGTTATTGATAATATGATAATAATAATAACGTTGATAATAATGATAACAATAATGATAAGGATTATGATTATTATCATTAATGCTTGCACCCATTTCACACACTATGAACATGACAGACAATGAAAGCGGACAAAATATACAGTTCCTCAGGTAGACAAAGGAACATCCCTTCACTGCTATTATGTAAAAAGGTGTAGAACAGGTGAATATGCATGTGACACCTGTTCTACACATTTTTACATAATGGCAGTGAAGGGATGTTCCTTTGTTTACCTGAGGAACTGTATAAATTTTGTCCGCTTTCATTGTCTGTCATGTTCATAGTGACAATGGGAACAGGGTGCCATGAAGATCAATGGCGTATACACAGCGAGATAGACCACTGTGTGCCTAGACGGGCGTGCAGATTTTCACTTAGACTGCGGTGGTAATGCAAGAAGGGAAATCATTTGTTGAGCCTGTTTATTTCATTTGAATTATGGTACACGGTTTGAGTCGTTGTTAGAAGTGTGAAGGGTTTGAATCAACCTCTATTATACATGTACAGGACTCATGGGGGCACAACCCACTCATCCCCCAGTTTGAAAATTTGTATGCCCCTTAAATGTCAATTTTCGACCAATTCAATGCAAGAAATCCTTCAGACCCCCCTTTAAAATCCTAGATGCTCATTCTCTATCAGCCGAAATCTGCAATAAATCAAAAGAATGTGAAACGTAAGAAGATGGAAAAGTAAGTTATGCTACGGTCACAAAGGTTCGTACGAACGATAAATTCGTAAGAATCTCCTTGTTTTTCCAATGTCTTCCCAAACTTCCATCGTCTGAAAATCGTTCGTACGGCGTTCGTAGCAGTTCGTAATGGCATTTGTGACCGAGGCTTTATTTTTCTCGTCTCGTCCGATCGGTAGAGGGAAACTGGTGGCAAAAAGTTAAGTGAAAGCCAATACAATAGGGTCTTATCCACAGCTTTAAGGATATCTTTAACATTTTACCTTCTCAGGATTCATTACAAAGGTTTATATCAGGTGAGACCAGCCATTGAGCCACATCTCCTACTTTGGTTATTATCTAACTTATATATATAGCCTTCATCTACATTGTTTTACCACCCCCCCCCCTACCCCGCGCGCCCCGGCTCAGCCCGATTGGGAAGGTTTACCGCCCCCTCAATTGCACATTTTAGGATAAGCCTCTTAATAAACTATAATCTGTGACAAGCCACCCCTGTCATAATACTACAATTTCCTTATTCCATGATGAGCGATCGATTGTCCTTTGTCAAATTGTTAAAGCTACCATATTATTTTGTAAAGTTAATACCTCCATCTAAGTTAGATAACAAACAAAGGAGGAGGTGCGCTTCACTGGCGTCCTGGGGGAGGAGAGGAGAGGAGAGGAGGGGGAGGGGGGGGGGGGGGGGTCACATCTGATTTATCCCTTTGTAATGAATTCTCAGAAGGTAAAATGTGAAAATGAAATGTATATCCGATTCTAAAATGTAATGATCCTTTCAAACCCAAGTGCCACTGTAACCCACACCCACACCCACACACCGGAAAGAGTGGGTGAACCAGGGATATAAAACGTCACACAGTACGGAAGTGTCACGGCATACTGAATTCATGTAAAAATGAAACACAAATGTATTATATTTCTAAGATTGATTTGTATTGTTTGGGATCAATTAAAAAAAACCATTGGAAAAAAATACTGGACAAGGTTTGCCGGTTCTATATGATTTTGTAGTGAAAATGGTATGATGATCACAGTGACACCTGCCCCAAACACTGGATTTGCCCTGCTCCAGTCCATAATCTTGAATGATTTCGTGGTGAACCGCATGCGACAGCCCCCAGGACAGCCCCTATTGTTAAGAACCAGTAATTCCGTAATTTTTCACATAGTTTCATGTCGACATGTACATTGTTATATTGAAACGGATAGTGAGTTATTCGAATTAAATAAAATCATCTCGTTTTCTTCATGTTTCTCTGATCTAAAAAATTATTACAGTTGTATAGCATTTATGTTTACATCATATTCATGCTTATATTAAAAAGGAAAACATATCACCTAACTGAAATAAAATAAAACCAGTTAGTAATCAGCTGACATTTAAGCAAGAGACGTCAGCGCCGCCCGCCCATCCCCAAACCCGGAAGAACTAACTCCTAAAGCTCTGAGCAGAGCCAGTGCATAGTCTACTGTAGTCTCACACTGCAGACGCTTTTACGCGCATCGACTGATAAGGGTTTGTGACTGCAGACTACTTACTACGTGGGTGTGTGAAAATATACGATCAATTTCCTTTCAACCCAGAATTTTTTTATTTTTTTAATATCAAGAATATAGTCGTTTCGGGCTATGCGAGCGAAATATATCCGACCACGTTACTGCTAAATTTAGAATGGTTTATTGCGTGTACGAACTTGCTGTGCGTGAAGAGTCTACTGCCATGCTTATTCATCGAATTCACTCTGTTGGAAAAAAGGAATCGATTTGACATTTTCTTTTCACTATCTCTCTTCATTTCAGACGACACGGAGTTTGACTGTCACTGGTGATCACACAAGTATAGGAGAGAGGATATAACGTCCAGCTGCAATTGTGCGACCTACTAAACACACTCCATACACTCACATTCAAAACGCGGATAACTCCTTGTGACAGGCTGAAACGGTTCGCCATGGTGTCCTATATCATACGCAGTGGAAGGGTGGATGATTGCGAAGATGTTGTCCGGCTCATGCAGAAGCTGTCCGCCCATGAGGGGTTTGCGGATCAGTCCAAGATTTCTGCAGAAGGTAGGTCTATTCAGGCCAGGCCAGGCCAAGTAAATTGAATTCCTAGTTTCTTGTTCAGGTTTTTAAAAGGAGAGAAACTGTTCAAAATAAATGAAAATAATAAAGTTTAAGTGTTGACCCCAGAGGCGCCTCAAAATTGTATACTTTTCTTTTTTTTTCTTTCTTCAAAGAGGCGCTTGATATGTTGGGGGCTTTATTTTGGACCCCCCCCCTCGGAAATGAGAACTTTTATGTCTCATATTGCAACTCATGTTTATTTGGTATCATGTCGTTTTGTGTCAAGTAGGCCGTTCTTCCACGAACATTTCATTCAAAAGCAATCCAAGCCTGACGATCGATCATTCCAGAAATTGAAATTTTTGTTTAGATTCTAAAAGATAAGATTTCCAAAACCCTGATATCCAATGTACAAGCCTTTGAAGAATAGAACGTATTTATTATGTAGGGACTTTCCCAACTTTCATTGCTTAAGGTAACTTTAGATTTGAGAATAAAAAGGAAAGAACTTATCTTTGGACATTTGATGAAGGAAATATTTTTAATTGCCTTGTCCATCACATTTTGAAATGTACGAACATTATATTGACATGTTATTTATTGAACATGCTTTTTATGGAGTATACAATATAGTTCGAAAATAGACAGGTTTACTTACATATTCAAATGTACGGATGTTTCTTTCCTGGGGACTGAGTAACGAGTTGTTCCATTAACCTGTTATTAATGAATGAACTACAATACTTGGAATCCAGTCTGTGTATATTATGTGTTGCTATGTCGGACAATCCTTGGGTAAGCTTACAAGATATCAAGAACAACCTTTGTTTAAAAAAGTATGCTTAAAATTTGAATAAGTTAGTAAACCGGTCTGTTGTCGAAATCTCGAGAACAAAAATTCGATCATGTAATACGTGTATCAGAAGCGGATCTAGAGGGGGGGTTGGGGGGGGGGGGGGGGTTGCAACCCCCCCAAAAAAAAATCCGGGGACCATTTTTTTAAATCTTATCTTTTTTTTTAAACTTGTAATTTTATTTTATTCTATTTCTATGTATTTATTTCATTTATTATTATTATTATTATTATTATTATTATTATTATTATTATTATTATTATTATTATTATTATTATTATTATTATTATTATTATTATTATTATTTCTTTTTGGGGGGAGGGGGGGGGGTGGGCGAACAAATGTCACAGAGTCCCTTGCCCCCCCCCCCCCATCAGCTTTTTGAGGACACGGGCCACCGCCGAAGTGACAAGCTAGGCCAGCGTTGCCGATTCTCATCCCCAAAATCCCCACATTAAAAAAAAAAAAAAAATTGGGGGATTGTTGAAGTCTTTGGGGATGAAAAATAAATATTTGGGAATGAAAATAATATTGAGTTTTATGAAAAACGAATTTGGGGATTTTCTGTCAAAATTTGGCAACTTTGGGGATATTTTAAGTGTCGTTTGGGTGGGGATTTTGTGAAGATTTAACCTGGCAACGCACGCTGAGCTGGGCTGCTCATTTCCTGGATTACTTGTTCAAGTTGCTCACTTTTTTATCAGTCTGGTCTGAGTGTAGTGACAAGCAATATGGAAGCAAACAGGGCAAAGAAGTTGCGGCAATCCAGTCTCGTATCTTTTTTTACTGGAAGGTATGTTTGAATCATGCAAAAAAGTTGGCATACAGGGTAAATTACCATACATGGGGGTGTAATACGGACGTGTTCATGCACTGCTTTTTATGGTCTCCATTGTGTTAATAGATGCCAGGAAAACATCACTTACGGGGTTCAAATAAACACCCCCAAAAAAAATCGGCTCGCCGCTTCGCGGCTCGTGGACGATGCTCTGCATCGTCATTATTGGTCAACCCCCCCTTAGCAAAAAGCTAGATCCGCCCCTGGTTTTTAACGAGTAGGCCATTTCATAAAAATGAACAATTTCCCCTTTAACATTTTGATACGACAGAATATGCAGTTGAGTAGTACTTTTTTCAAACGAGTGTGCGAAGAATGCGCAGAGTTTTGAAAAGAGTTCCGACTCATTAGTTCATGTTGATTTTAGACGCTTGAGATCACCTTTAAATAGTCGCATTCATGTCGCTGAATGCAATTAAAATAAGGTTAAGGTCGAGTTCCGGTATTAAATGGATAGTTGAGTTCTGTTTTCAGATCGCAAGTGCCTTCAAAGTGCATGGTTATTGTTCTTATTCTTATCTATGACATTTCTAGTGCCCTTTTAGGACCCACAATTGCTATGAAGGTAATTTTAGACCCCAAAATGTGTGAAATTTAGCTAATACGATCATACTAATTCAGCTCTACTTTAAAAAAAATACGGTGACCGTTAATTAATTCATTAATTAATAATAACAAGACATGGGTCGGCTGGTTGTGCGTTATATAACAAACGCGAAAAAGCCAGCAAAAAACCAACACCGGCATTGGCTGAAATACAACGTAAAAGGCGCTATTTTGTTGTTCCAACGGCTTTCAACGGCTGGTTCAAATTATCTAATAGTTGTGGTGGTACACTAGTATTATAAATCGTTATATGTATGGATATTTCAGCCGTCTCAGAACCATCTTTGATCAAGATGATTCTGTCATTTAAACTGTATGTTCTTTCGCATTTGACAGTTTTTCATTATCTCACAAAAAACTATTTTGTGTAGCGTCCTCTGCAACCGAACTCAACTATCCCTTTAAATGGTGGAAAATAATCTGCGACCTTCCTCTTCTTTACATGTTATTTAGACATAATATCATATTGAAAATCCCGCCTGGTATAGGATGGCTCTGCATAAATCACGGAAAATATTTTATTTTTTTCATGATTCTAGAACCTCAAATTAAACATCAATTCCTATGTTCTACATAACAAACCTTTCCCAATTAGAATGACGATTGCTTGGAGTTTCTTTTATAAATCAATTGCTTGGCCAGAACTCGACTTTAACTTTAAAGAGAAAGTGGAGTTCTGGGAAGGTAAATAATAATTGGTGAGTTCTTTTAATGTTGGGGTGGAAGAATATCGTGTAACCAAGTCATATTAAGAAGGATGGCTCTTCAAATCCCCCCCCCCCACATTCAAAATATGACAAGTAACATCTACAGGTTGTGGACCTCAACCTTATGCCATTATGTTTGTGTAGTCTTATATTCATATTTCTATGCATGTGACTTTTAGTTTTTAGCAAAACTGGGCAAATTTCCCAAAACCACATAATATTATTATTCACCAAAACTTATACTTGATCGACCTTTTCCGATCGCTTCTAAGTTCTAGACAGAAGTTCCTTTAAAAGAACACCCCAGGAATTTGTCTTTTTAGTCCAGGTCACCCACCCGGAGTCAGATACGCCCCTGTAAAAGTAGTCTTGTCCCGCTGACCCGAGCTTAACGATGGAGGTTTGGGGGAAATAGGGGGGGGGGGGGGGAGGGGTCGCCCCGTTATGCAATATATATTTAGCATTTGGTTTGTTTAAGTTTGTTGTATTCCTGTTCATCACCAGGTCTGACTAGAAATGCTAATCTTGAGCTCGGGCATGGAAATTATATGCCGAGAGAACATGACGATAATTCATTCCGGATTATTTATCCTGCAGAAGATTGATTGACTTTGAACCATTAAAATAACAAAAAAACTCACACAAAACTGGTGGAAATCATCTTCAATAAAAACCACAACTCTCATGTGCACATAGTGACCTGCGTTTAGCACATGGCCTCGGGCCTACTTACCTTGATTTCCTTACAGCTCTATCTTTCTATACGCTCATTACTCAGCCTCTATACATTTTCGACCAAAATCGTTTGGCACACTTCATTTATTTGTAATCTTGAAAATTTAGTTTAAGACTTATTGGATTATGAGAGAACATATTTTCTATCCCTGTCGGAACTCAAGCTTATCTTTAAGCTTTAATGATATCAAAACATGAATTTGAAAAGATAACACCATAATACACAATTTTCAAATGATGGGGGATTCTCGTCATGCAGTCATCGAGATTAACATTCGCAGCCAAAATCCATAATTGTGGCAAATTAATTGTACCTGGAGGGCATAGACAGTGAACTTTGTTAGAGAGAGTGTGGACAATGCTGATCGAGGATGGAACCGGCAAAAAAATAATCGTTAGCTTGTAAGTACACAAACTAAATCAGATTCACCTGATGGTAACACAAAGAAAAGAAAATGAGCGCCGCAGACAGTCCCCCTGCACAAAGTTACTGTTCATACCATTCATTGCCCTAAATAAACATGATACGTCCACGACAAAAGGCCTTTATTTGAAAGGTAAAAGGTGAAGGGGAAAAGGTGAAAAGAAAAAAATCTCTCTCCGTCTCTAATCTAATCCAGAATTTGTAGTGTTAGCTTGCAATTTCTTTCGACCCAAATTTGAAAGTATTTAACCAATAGTTGGACCTACAAGTTTGGATCATTGATGCAGTGCAGTGATCTACTCGTATCGAATTATTCAGAGATAGTCCCGCCCGAAAGTCTGGGCGAAGCTGTCAAGAGAAGCAGGGTAGGGATGGTAATCGAGCTGAAATATTAACCTGCACGACAATGGAAAATGTATCAAAAATTGCTCCTACATTCCTCGCATAGAACAATTTTAGGAAATCAACAAGAAATGTGTCAATATTCTGATGATTTCCTTATTCTGTAAGATGAACCCGATCATTCCAAATCGGTTTTCAGTGGTACCTGTACCTAGAATAGGCCTATTTTACTTTGGTCAAGGCTACAATAATGGGTCTTTGGACCACATTTTTGGCGTCTGGTGCATGGTGAAGCTATTCAGTGCATTGTGGCATTCATGCATTAACTCAAAATTGGTTACAACTGGCACCTCGTTAGTTTTTTTCATGGGCTATTTGCCACCCCCTCCTTCGGTGACTGGCGGGCCCTAAGCAGCAAGAAAAAACGGTCTGTCATGACGATTTCCGACGAAGTCTGTCAGATTAACCCAAGCATTCAAAATCGGTTTTGAGGGGTA